TTATTTATACCAGAATGACAAGTTGTGTGATGAATGAGTGGATGGAGGGGTAGCACCGTTGTTGACCAGCATATGCCCTCCTTGTTTGTGTCCCTCGATACACCCTTGGAAGCCATAACCATCCATGTTTCCTTGGGTCGTACCATCACTGTTTGTTCTCTCTACCTGTCTCCTGGGGAGACTTATGACCAATCATACCTTGATGCTCTCGTTGACCATCTCCATTTTTACTTCTGGGAGACTTTAATGGACACCTCTGGGGTGGTGCTGATATTGATGGGAGGGGTCATTCCATAGAGTTTATGCTCTTGGATCACAACCTTTCTCTTTTCAATACTGGAACATATACTTATTTTCATGCACCTAAGCAGTTTTTTACTGCCATTGATCTCTCGATTTACTTACCTTCACTTTACATTCGCTTTTCTTGGATGGTCGACAGTGACCCACGGGGCAGTGATCATTTTCATATCATTTTCATATGCCACCCGACGCGGGTGCCACGGCGGAAGTTGGACCACGCTGACTGGCCATCTTTAACCTCTCTCTCCACACTTGATTCTGCCTTGGTCTGTCTGCCATCAATAGACGACCGTGTGGTTGCAGTGACTGACTGTATCGTCCAGGCAGCTGCTTATTTTATTCCTAAGATCTTGACATGTTTTCCATGGTGGAGTCATGTCTGCCAGGAGGCATCGGAAAGCATAAATTCAAATCTATATGATAAAATTACACTGTCGCTGTGCCAGACTTAAGCTTGTTTTCTCAGTTATACATGTAGAACTTCTTTCATTATACATCTTAGTATAATTCGAGGTATTCATTTCGAGGAACCAAACAAGATGAGCATTAACCATCCTCTCTAAGACCTTACAAAGACAACTAGTCAAAGTGATGGGATGATAATTAGAAGGAATCTTTGGATCCTTCCCAGGTTTAGAGAAAGGGAAGACAATAGCCTGGCGCCAAGCATCAGGAAAAACATGCTCCTTCCAGATCCGGTTAAAAATAACCAGAAGAATAGCAAGAGAGAGATGGTGTAGCATCTCATAATGAACATCATCAGGTCCGACTGATGTACTACCAGACCTATGAGGAGCAAGTTTGAGTTCCACCAGTGTAAAGAGGTGATTATAGTCATAGAGACGATCGGCCTGAAAGGAAAGAGGTGATCGGCCTGCCCAAGACTTGATGGCCAAAAAGGCAGGGGAAGAAACAGAAGTGCCAAAAGCACGAGAAAAGCTGTGGGCAAGAGCATCAGCAATGCTCTGGACATCAGCAACTTCCTGGACATTGGAGAGCATGATGGAAAGGGGATGGGAAGCATACCTCCCAGTGATATTCCGAATCTTGTACCATACAGTTTTGAAACTGGTGGTAGAAGAGGCTTTGATGTCGAACCTACCGAACATAGGCACGGGCCCACTGATAAACAATGTGGTTAGAAAGAGAGGGATACCGTCGGAAGGTATCCCAGGCCGTGTTTGAGCCTTTCAATAATAAATTTGAAAATGAAGGATCCTAAGATACTTGTAGTTCCGTAAGGATTCTATAATTAAGTTTACTGCAAGTATGGAAATGTGCTATTATGTCCAACAATTTACCCCCCCCCCCAATAAATTCTTACTTAAATAATGACTAAATAGTAACATGTATAATGTTATTTGTCAGAACTTAAGGATTTTTTAGGACTTATTGTAGCTAATTTTATGCAAATACTGAAAATTTTAATTATTTGTTTATTAATGTCTTTCATTATCTTGATAGAAACTGTTATCCCTTCATAGAGAAAGTGTTCCAAGTATTTACAGAAGAGATTTTAGCACTGTGCAGTAGATGTGAAGCACTGTTTGCAAATCACGCATTGTTATAAGATACAGTTTAAGAATAACAAGGGACTTGTTGATACATCTGTGCTGTCCAATCAACTAAAGCAAACTAAACGTTTAGAACAATCAAAAGTATAAAGCCAGATTTTATTATTAGAGTTGAGCAATTAATGGTATTTACTAATTGATTAATTGATGTCCCCATTAATCAATAAGTACATTATTCCTTAAACCACAATATGTACAAACTAACAAAAAACAGGTGATGGATGATGCCAGACAGTTACCTTCCCTCTAGTAAGCAGTTCAAGAAAAATTAAAAAAGGTTGGGGGTGGGTTTTGCCATAAAGTTACTTTTCCTATAGTCAGTAGTTCAAAGTAAGCCCATTATGTAGTTTTGTGCTGAATAACAAATAAATATAATGGCAGTATTTCTATTATTTGGATAGTTGCAATAATTGACAGAAAGTAAAAAACAGAAACCCCAATTTCAATTATTTGATTATTTTCTTGCAAATCGATTAATTGGTTGTTAGGATAATCAAAAACATTAATAATTGGAAACACTAATTTCAGTTAATCAATTTAATTGTAATTTCTATTAATTAATTAGTTTACTTGACAAATGTTGATGAAATCACTGCTTGTAGGTAATTGATTATGTTGATTAATTGATTAAATTGCCAAGTTCTACTTACAAATATTTATCAAATTAGGAAATAAAAAGGGTATATAAAAAAGTTTGCTGAAAATGTAAAAATTAACAGTAAGGATTTCTTAAATACAATAAGGATAAGCAAAACGTTAGAATGGGAGTAGGGCCTTTGACAAATGACAAATGTAGGCTCATTTCTGATGATTGTGGGATAGCTAGGTAACTAATTTCTGTTTTTTTTTAGTCAATTTTTATTAATAGATATTTGAGCAATATTTTTCACCCTGAACAGTTGCTTGTAAAAAAGAAGATAAAAAAAAGATAAGCACATAAATTCTGCAATTATATAAAAAAAAAAATTCGGAACTTTATAGAATGTTATTGTTCCTGGGCCAGATGATATTTCCCCAAAGATTTCGAAGGAGGTTTAAGAATTGGATATGTTAGCCACTAACTTCTTTTCTTGCAAGTCGTTGAATAGTGAACAGGTGCCAGAATATTGGAAGTTTTCTAATGTTACACATTTCTTCAAGGGAAGTGATAACAATTGTCCTTGTAAGCATAGGTCTATTGGTTTTACATCATTGGTGGGAAAAGTTTTTGGAAGTTTGATAAATGATGCTGTGCAAAGTCATTTAACAAGATTTAAGATCTTAATAGATAGTAAACATGGTTTCACTATGGGAAAATCTTGCCTCACTAATCTTTCAACATTTTTTGAAGAGGTTACTGCTTATGTAGATGGATGAGGGTACGAGTGTGAATTTTTATGTCTGGATTATCAGAAAGCATCTGACAAGGTGCCACATAAAAGGCTTGTTAAAGAAATTATCTATATATGTGTAAAGGATAAGTTAACTCATTGGATATAAAAGTGGCAGGATGAAAGAAAGTAGTTGTTATAATAGTCAAAATAGATTAATTAAGATACCCGAGAGTTCAATGTTAAGACCTTTGCTCCATTGATTTACATCGTTGACATAGAATTATGTTGTGTTATTAATTCTTACCTGAAATTAATATAAATACTGTTAATTTGCATATATGTGATTCAAACCCTAGCAGTTTTTGTTATGAACATTGATGTATATGTATGTATGTATGTATGTATATTAGCATCTATCTCAACCAACCAGATAAAGGCTTTGTTGGTACTGGATATAGCAGATGTTGTGTAGTTATCATATTGTACCATACTTTCTTTTCATCATGTGTTCTTAGAATAGCTGAAGCAATGGTCAATAAGTTACTTAAAGTTGCTGTTGATATTAAAATTGTCAGTGGTGGTGGCTGTGAGAAGTACAATATTAAAAGGACTTGAATTATTTGGTAATTTTGGTGAATAAATGTCATATGGCTTTTAATTATAATAAAGGCAAGTTAGTACATGTGGGATATATAATTTGTATTATAAGTTCAATTTTCATAGGAATGACTAACTGCTTAAGAAGAAAAGGATCTTGGTGTTCTGGATGATCAGTCTCTTAAGTCATCCAAACAATGTGCTGTTACTAGCGTGCCCAGCTTGGCCATGTAGTTAGGGAGCTCAACTCACAATCTGCAGGTCGCAGGTTCGAATCCCCGTTCCACCAAACATGCTCGCCCTTTCAGCTGTGGGGACATTATAATGTAACAGTCAATCCCACTATTTGTTGGTAAAAGAGTAGCCCAAGAGTTGGCAGTAGGTGATGATGACTAGCTGCCTTCCCTCTAGTCTTACACTGCTAAATTAGGGACAGCTAGTGCAGATAGCCCTTGTGTAGCTTTGTGCGAAATTCAAAATAAACAAAGAAACAAACTGTTGCTAGTTGAGGGCAAATAGGAATTTAGGTTTTATTTACAGAAATGTTGAATTCAAGTCTAAAGAGGTTATAATTTCATTGTTTAGGTCAATGGTTAGGCTACATTTGGAGTTTAGTCTTAGGCTCCTTAGGAAGGATATAGAATAGTTCACTTTTAGAATAGGTTACCTTCAGAAGTGGTGGATGCAGTAAATTTAAAAAAAAGTCTTGGTAAATATTTGAATGAGCACTGGTTCCCAAACTCTTTTAGTCTGAGGCTCCCTTGATGTGAATAAAAAAAATTTGAGGCCCCCCAACCTATAACTTTAGCATGGTGACATACTGTATCATTTAATTAATTCAACATAATTTTTATTGGCTTATTGTTTATTTAGAATTAAAATTAATTCATCATATTTGTTTTTGGTGGCCCCACAGAGAAAAAGCTTCATGGCCCCCAGGGGGCCACAACTCCCAGTTTCAGAAACACTGGCTTAGCAAAACTGATAAGTCCATTGTTATGACCATTCAAATGCTACTTATAATTCAAATCATGATAACCTACAGGCTTTACCTTGTATTTGTTATAATTATAAGCCATCTGCCATTTATTCATTCAACTCTCTAAATAATCTAAATCCTTTTATTGCTAAAGCAGCATCTTCACATCTGCCACATTGGCTGGGTATAGGCTTGACAATGAAGATCCATCCACTATCTGGGTTAGTTGCCTTGGCAGGTGAGCTGTTAACCACTTTTTAACAAATTCCTACTTCCATGGCCTCCGTCCTGCTTCTGTAGCAACCAACACTCTCTTAACTCTTATTAACTTCAGAATTACTAATGGGGTCTCATTGGCTTTTTAAATGTTTTAAACTATTCATTTACCAAATTGCTTATGTGTTCATGATTTTTTTAGTTAAGTATTTCATGACTTGCAAAAAAATTTAAAAAGAATAACATTAATTTTGCAATTAATTCCACTACTAACTACTGAGTATTTTTATTATCTAATTTTTTGGTCAGTTCTTTAGAATAAGTCTTGTAATAGTCTAAAATATAAAATTATTCATTATGATGCAAATTGTGTACCCCCATTGGAAAATTAATGATATATGAACAAGTTGGTGATTTGAACATTAAGTAGCTTTAGTCATTAATATTTCATTGGCTTATGTAGTTGACCAGTGTTTTTCCTCTCTGAAATATGTAGCCAGTAACCAATGATCAAGGATCACATGTATTAAAACAAATAATATTATAATAGAAATACTGTTTTTTTTTTATCAAACCAAATTGATGTGTTTTGCAATGTTACATTAATTTTTTTTATTAGATAAATAAATAGAGCATGAAATAGAAGTAAACATGACTGTGTATTTTAGTGGTATAAAGTGTTTGTAGTAATAGATAAACATTAGAAAAGTGGCCACTTTTAATACATTATATAAGTCACTTGCTATTTTAGACTAGTCTATAATTTCAGGAGAACAGTATTATGTAATTTTATATATGAAATTATTTTATTAGATTATATATTATTTATTAAAC